AAAATGTGTGTAAAGCAAGATTTTATTTGTGTTCAAGAGAAATCTCTGAAAGAGTGGAATAAAACCAAATGCATGGAAACAAGCTCAAATCTGGCAACGGGAAAACACAGACGCACAGGTTCAGTGCAAGATTCAGGAGATGTGCCCCACCCCCCGCCCCTAAATAAGTTTCTAATCAAAAGCCAGAATGAAACATTGAAACCTGCCAAAATGTCCTACTTGGCTGCCTTCACTCTTGAAATCATTCCTTTTTATTGCATCTGACTAGGCAGAGAACAATAATGGAAATGCCTACCAACTGATGTTTCTGGCAATTTTGTGAATTATCACATAAAATGAAATGCTGAACTACATTCCTTTCTCCCTGGGGTTTATCTTCACACTCCTATTCATGCTTGGCATCCCCTCTGCTTGGTGTGACCGAAGTCCCAAAACTGAGCTGCTGAAGATTAGACTGTGATATGCTAATCATTTTGCATTTTTAAAAGACTAAATAACGTATTTAAGAAAACCATTTAGGTTTGTATAATTCTTTCCTTCTTCTTTTCCTTTTCTTCAGTAAGCTCGATGTGATTAGCTTCGATTAGGATCATACAATAAGCAGGGAAAGAACACACTTCAGAGATCCCCCATAGAATTTTGCTGGTGGCCCTCAGGCTGCAGATTTTACTGGCTTTCTGGGAGGAAGTGAGCTAGGTGCGATGAGATGACTAAGACAGAAACTGGCAAACATCTCAGGTTCAGTGATCAGAGTTATCAGATTGCAAATGTTTAGGAGGCATAATGTGTTCTGATGAAATTTCCAAGACTGCTCACTTAAAAAAAAAAAAAAAAAAAAGGAATTTAGCAGATTTTTTAGTGCCAAATTAAAAACAGTAAATATTAAGTATAACTTAATTAAGGAGGACTTGTACATCATTAAGGAAAAACTGGAGGGGGTGTATCAAAAGTATAGCAAACTAGAGAAAGTAAAAAAAATTACTTTTCACGTAACACATGGCCCACATGGTCAGAATTGTTGATCTGTTCCACAGGCATTTCTTGAGCAGCTATTATATACCTGTCTCCGTGTTATATGTAGATAGTATAAAGATGAGTTAGTCTTCATCCTTTATCTTGTAAAGTTAATCTTGGTACATGAAAATGTAAAGAGATTAGTTCTTTTAGATACTGGTAAAAATGCTTCCAAATTAGGATAGTTGCTTTCTTTCTCCTCTTGGGCTACTTTTTATTTTGAAACCAGAGAACCTATGGATCTGGGCTGCCAGTCACTACTTGAGCCAATTAAGCAGAGACAGGGTTGAATCATATATGAACATTTATTCCCATAATGCCGGCAGTATGGGAGAGCAGCAGGCCACCCACGAAAATCTGCTCTGCACCCCACCCCCCATAAGCCAGCTGCTTATATGGGATACAGACAAAGATTACGTGGGGAAGCAGGCAAAAGGAATAAGAATGGGCATAATGGTTACAGATTATAGGCAATGTGGGCAATGTGGGCTGGGGGTTTTGCAAAGGGCAGGGGGCATCGGGGACTCCATTGCTGCCTTTCCACAAGATTGGATGTTAATCTTTCTATGAAGATAGGCAGCTCCCAGATGAGGAGGATGGGCTGCATTTCCAGGTGAGCTCCCAGGTCCCGTGTATAATCCCCAGCCAGGTTTCAATGTGCTTCCTTTAATCAGAACAAAACAATCATGGTTAACAGAGCATGATTAATATTTCTTATTAGTATTTCTTATAACTAATAGCTAGTCCCCAATATTCTAATTCTACCCCTAACAGTTTCACATGAGGAGTCAAGCTTCCAAAAGCATGAAAGGCATTGCTTTGGTTAGAGGTGAACTTTTCACGTAACACATGGCCCACTGAAAAATCCAGACAGTGGCATATATTACTAATGAAGAATTTGAAAACATAGTACAATGTTCTGTAAATGAAAGGAAATATATATGTAATTAGAGGCCCGGTGCATGAAATTCGTGCACTGGGGGAGGGGTGTCCCTCAGCCCAGCCTGCACCCTCTCAAATCTGGGACCCCTTTCACAATCCCTTTCACAATCCGGGGCTGCTGGCTCCCAACCACTCGCCTGCCTGCCTGCCTAATTGCCCCTAACCCCTTCGGCCTGCCAGCCTGACCACCCCCTAACCACTCCTCTGCCAGCCTGATTGACTCCTGACTTCTCCCCTGCTGGCCCTGTCACCCCCAACGGCCCTCCTCTGCAGGCCCAATTGCCCCTAACTGCCCTCCCCTGCTGGCCTGATCGCCCACAACTGCCCTCCCCTGCCAGCCATCTTGTAGCAGCCATCTTGTGATGGCATGGGGCAACCATCTCGTGACCACATGAGGCGTCCATCTTGTGATGACATGGGTGTGGCCATCTTGTGCGAGGGCATGACAGTCAATTTGCATATTACCTCTTTATAGACAGGATACTGTTCTGTATAACTCATTAACTAACTCTAGATATCTGCATAGTTTCCTTTTAAAAGAAGCCAGTGTGTCCATACCAGCATTCCCCGCCCATCATTCATACACCCACTAAATGATTGTACTTTCTAATACTGTACAGTACTGTACATAACACAAAGGTCTTGGTATTGTTACAGATTTTACCAACCCATTCATTAGTCCTCCAGAATCCTCTGAGAAATATAGTTAAACCATAACTAACCAATGTTTTCCTCACAGTAATTCTTCCAAAAAAGGAAAGCTTGCTTTAAAAAATAATGGAGGGTTATTTCAGGATACAACACTGGAAGATGATAGAAAAAACAATTATGAATTCCAAGAAAAAAGTAAACAGCTCTAAGAGGAAATATAATTACAGTACACTACTTGACTCTTTTTGGGGGAAAATGTAAGCAGCACAAAAAGATAGAGTCATAACAAAGTAACTGCATTAGGGGATGGAGAAAGGAAGTGAGTTAGTGTGAAAGAACTAAATTCTCATCTATTGTACAATACAGCAAATAGATGATATCAAAAATTATTAAATTGAGAAACAGAAGTTCAGAAAAAGAGAGCTATTTTAAAATAAAAGAGAATTACAAATCCAGTGCGTGATCTTAGATTGACAAACCAACTACAAAGGCTATTTTAAAGGCAACTGGGGAAATTTAAATATGTACTAACTTTTATATGATAATAGAAATTGTCATTTTTCTTAGATGTGATAATATTTAGCTATGCATAATAAAGAATATCATGATAACTTTAATATATTTTAAATACATAAACATTTTTAAATACTTTAAAAAGGCACACATCAACATTTTAAAAACAGACTTTTCTATTTGATTTTGAACATCACCTTGATTTCAAAATGTGTTTAAGTAATTTTGACAATATATCTCTGGATTAGTACACAGCCACCACTATATCCTATAGTTGAAGCTAATTTTTTCTAAGATGACTCTTGCTTTGCAAGATTCTGAAATTTCACAAAACAGATTTAATTACTTCCAGTGCACTTTACTTAATTAGGCAAGAATTCAGACAAACAGATTTTAGAAAGGTTTTTCATTATCAGATAAAAACTAAAAGAGACTGTGAACTAGGAAATTAAATTAACCAAATATTCTCCAAGTATTCCAATTGGTTAATAGGCATGGTTGTTAAGTCTTGTTCAAACTAAAAATTCACATCCTAACTAACTGTTATAGGTTGATGGTTAAGAGCAGAGCAAATGTGTGGCAAATATCAAGTGGATTCCTATGTCAGTAAGATTCTCAGGGTAGAGAGGACACTGGGAATGTGACCTACTTTAAAAATCAACAAAATAATCTTAAATTTTAGTGATAAAATTATGATTTTTAACATGTGTTTAATGAATAAAATACCATACTTGAGAGAAAAACACTTCTAGAAAGAATTTCACCTAAAAATGCATTTGACACACAAAGTAATATGGTGCAAATTTAACAGAGTTTTTAGTTGGTTGGTTAACATTTGTATCACTTAAAATCCCTTTTGCAGTTCTATAAGGAAGATATCTAAGGTGTAAGGCTTGATCCAATGTTTAAACTATTATATAAATAACTGGGATAAATGAAAGATCATTTAAAGAAAGAAACCAATACACTAAGGAAATATCCACACCACTTACTTAATTGGAATGGCATAATAATACAGTGGGACAGTGTTGACATGTAACTACTAATCCACTTAATTGGTTGATTTTAACTCATCAATAAGTATAATTAATTATTATCCCTTCATTCAACAAATAATTATTTAGCATCTATATACAGGTTTGTGTGCTGGAGACTGAGAATACAGTAACAAACAAGATAAATATGATTCCCACCCTCATGGACTTGGAAAGACAGGTCAAAAAAGAAATTTAAATGAAATATAACCAGTGTTCTCAGGGGAGAAGTCAATGAGTGGCTTGAAAGCACATAGCAAGGAACCTAATCATGTCACTGAAAATATAAACCAGGCACCCGACAGCCCTCTCTGTAACCAACCCCTTTCCTCAGGGTTGAAAATTCGAGAGTAAGTGCAGAATCCCAGTGATGTTGGTGGCTATGCAGGAAATAGGCTGTCCCCGCTGAACACATGATCCCTCTGCAGAACACTGTCTCCATTAGCAGTGCAGTTTAGGCTGGCTTTGCTTTCCTGGAAAATGCATAATAAGCTTTGTATCCCAAAGAGTGCTGGGTGGGGCACTTGCCAGACTTATGAAGGTGGAATGACTATGGGTAGCTCTTCAGACAAGTGACAGGGTCGAAGATAAGCCTGCTCCTAACCTGAATATAGATATCAATAAGTATTGCAGCACCAAGTAATTCCAGAGAGACTATTAAAATGAATCTGGAACACCTAGATTATCTCCAAGCATTTGGGTTAGATGACTGGGGGAGGACCAAATAAGTAAATTGGAAAATTCCAACCATAAGCAAAATGTGTGCTGATCTTGTGAGCCAGATTTTCATTAGATTTGAGAATAACTGGTGTGTTGTTGTTTGTTTGTTTGTTTGTTTTGTTTCAGAATGTCCTCATTGTTGAGGTAAGCTGACTTTATACCCATATTTGGAAGGTGAAGGGATGAACGGTGAGTTTTAAAATGTAGAGTTTGTTATCAAGTTGCCCAAGGACTTACTGAGTTCCCCTGTGTGCATGGCTCTCCAAATTTATTGAGTAGGAGCCAACTAGAATCAGGGACTTGAAATAACGCATTTAAAAGGTTTATATATTTAATTCCTCACATGTCTAATTGGTCATTATACCCATTGGTGAATCAGACATTTTTACAGAAGAGAAAACTAACCCACAAAGCCAAATTTACTTCATACTTAAGCCCAGGTTAGGACCCTCTTCACTCTTACCTCGGTGTTCTTGCTAATGACTTTGAGTAATTCTACCTTTGCATCGAATCATAAATATAATCAATTTTAAAATGGCAGTCCAAAGGAAAGCTATGAATTAATTTAATTGGTTCTGTTTAAAAAAGAAGGAAGAGAGGGAGGTAGAAAAGAAAGAGTGGAGGGGAGAGAGAGAGAAAGAAAGAGATAAAGGGAAGGAAGAAAAGAAGAGAGAAAACACCGGCCTTGGGGCAGCAGTGGACTGCAAATGTTCCTGTTTCCTTCAAGAGCACACCTGTCTTATCAGCTGGCAGAAATTCAGGGGGGGGGGGGGGGGGGGCGGGGGGGGGGGAGGGTGCTGTCTTCAAGCTTTTGTTACACAATTGCCTGGGTGTGCCATATGTATCTGCAGTTCTGGCTCAGACATAACCCATAAAGTAGACACTCTAGCCAAATGAATTGCCCAACTCTGGCTAAATTCAGACCTCTTGTTTTAATAATCAGTTCCTGACAGCTGATTTCTGTCCCGAGGACAATAAATTGCTGCTGCCCATTCTACTCTAATTGAGCAGCAGCTCATCAGCGGAGATGAGCCTCAGCTCACTGCAGGCTCACACCCTCAGAATTCAAGGCCGTCACCAGCTGCCGTCCAGACACGTCTCACTTCCTAGCCATGGGGTCCCCTATTGAGTGGGGAGGGCAAGGGGGAGGTGTTTATCCATTCAGTGTATTCAGATGTACATCCCCGGTCCATGAAAATTCATGCGTCCTGTATTGTGTCACATAACCTCAGGGCCAAATCGTAGTCCTTGAAAGTGTGTGAGTGAGTCCAAATGTACTCAGGGAGAGCCCCACATGCTCTCCAAAGGCTGAATTTAGCCTTTCATCCCAGCTCAGAGTTTGAGGAAATACTCACCAATGTATTTCCCCAACCCACCTTCCAGAAAGAAGCACCAGCCCAAAAAAATAGAACCAATTCTGCCTCCTACTTTGACTCCAATTTGATCGCAATTCTAATAGGGATGCATTATTAATAAGGAATATAATTATCTGCCTGAATGAAAAATCTACTACACTGCCCAAGTGCATTCGGTTGAATTTGTTCTCTTTGCAAAGGATGTTGTTGGAACAGGGACCGTGAAAGCGCTGCTCAGCAGCACAGGAAAAACACAAGCCCAACATGATTCAGGTGGCCAGGTGAGGAGGGCGCACATCATTGTTTCTGTCTTTCCAAACGAGCCCAAGAGGGATGCTGGTAGGGGATGCTGTTTTCAGAGAGTGCAGTCTGTTCCAAACCAGTGACCTTCTGCCCTGGGGTGCTACAGTTTGGCCACACCATACACACAGCCCTTTGAACTGCGGGCCTGAGAGAGAGGAAAGGGAAGAGCACATGCTTCGCTGTGGCTGAGCCCCTCTTGACTGTGCCTCGAGCTGTTTCCAGGAGCAGCTGGCTGGGCCCCAGGGTCAGGGCCCCCTCCCTTCCTTTATTGAGAGTCACTGAGCTGGTGCCGCACTAGCAGAAGCATGAGTTGGAGGGCTGGGATGATGCCCCATGTGTTCAAGGGGAAAAAATACGTATTTTAAATACTACATATTTTAATGATATTTCATTTTATTTGCAATTCACAGAGATTTTATTTGGATCACTGAAGCTTTGTTTTTTTAATGATAGTTTGTTGGTGAAGAGGACACCTAGAAGTCATGGCTTTAGACCTGACTGTAGGTGTTTTTGGGTTTTGTTTGTTAATGGGTTGCCTCATGGTGGTAGTTTGTGTGTAAGAAATTCCTATTTGTCGGCGTTCTGTCTGAAGTGGAAGCTGCATAGGTTTGAAAGACCCACAAAGTCCCAGCCTTGCTAGCGAAACTAGAGCTCTTTACAACAAGGGGCTTACATTTCCTGCCTTGCTCCGCTCACAGGCACTCAGTTGTGTGCATGGATATTTTGATATCTAGGTTTTCCATAGAACCTTCTCTCCAAGAGCTCAGAGAATCGGTTTCAGGTGGAGGAGGGAGACTCGGCCTCTCTGGACTGACACAGATGCACAGGATTCCTGCCGTGGCCGCCATCCCCACATGGGACATGGAGAGGCACGGGTAACGGTTCAGAGGCATTCTCATACCAGGCAATGCACAGTGCTGACATGCAGCGAGCCTGAATTTTAGCACACGAAGGGGAAATCCAAATCATCTCCCCACCACTCCGAACAAAAGTTCAGTAACACAAAGAATTAAGTGAACAGCATAGGGAATATAGTCAATAACATTGTAACTAGAGCTATTGTGCTGATCATTTTGCAATGGATAAAAACATCAACCCATGCCTGGCCGCAGTGGCTCAGTGGTTGAGTGTCTACCTATGAACCAGGAGGTCGCGGTTCAATTCCCAGTCAAGGGCACATGCCCAGGTTGTGGGCTCGATCCCCATTGTGGGGTCCACAGGAGGCAGCCAATCAATGATTCTCTATCATCATTGATGTTTCTATCCCTCCCTTCCTCTCTGAAATCAATTTAAAAAATATATTTTTAAAAAACATTAAACCACTATGTTGTACACCTCAAACTAAGGTCATATTGTATGTCATCTGTAATTCAATAAAAAATAAAATATAACTTCACAGAAACAAAACAATAACAGAGAATCAGCAGAGCAAATATCTATAGATACTATCTTCACACTTGCCTTCAGACGTGTGTTCTGGGGGACTTTTCTCATCTACGGCAGGAGGATAATAAACAAGCAGCTTGATTATTTATTATTCTAACACTGGAGGTGATTTTTTTTTCACTTGCATAGGCAGACTTCAGCTTGATTTTTATAACTTACATTTGCTCTCAAGCCTCTGGGATAATTTGGCCATGGTTCTCATTAGCAAGCTGAACAAACATTGCAGCAAGAGAAGCATGCTATGGATGGGTAATGTGCCAGTGCTATTTAGCCAGTGACTCTTTATTCGAAAACACAAGTTTCATTCCTATGTGGGATGTATTAAATCTAGACAATGTCAGTTCTGGGCAGATAGACCCAGTAGTGTGTTCCTGTCCAGTTATTGGTTTGGGGAATATAATCTGGATGTAGTTAAAGTTGGACATGGTTAGTAAACAGAAATCTGCCAAGGAAATAATGTAAGACACTGTTCAGAAAAAGTTTTAACTGAAAGGCATTCACTTCAGACATTCTGTTAATTTTTGTGTCACTTATAGCAACAACATTAATAAAGTTTAACACATTTAATCCTCTAAGGTAGATGCTAAAGTTATGCCCACATTACAGACGAGGAAATTGAACATAACAAGGTTAAATAGCTGGCCAAGGTCACATAATTGTAACTGTAGAGCCAGTGTTGAACCCAGGCAGTCTGGTTTTAATCACTGCTCTTACGCTTGCAATATACCTGTAACATCTGCCATTGCAAACCTAAGAGTAGGACTTGCACCCATTTACCCAGCTAGAGATAGGTCACTCTGGCTCCCATCCTACTCAACCAAGTCTCCCTCTTATTCCATGACACTCTGAAGGTTTGGCTCTCTCAACTGGCTTTTCCCAGTCAGAGCTGCCATGCCTGCTCTAGGGTTTGCATTGCTCACTGTAAAATCACTATTATTGCTACAATCAGGGTTTCCTAACGTTCTTTTAGCTAGCTCAGAATCCCTGTTTCTTCTTTCTTTCTGGATTTCTGAATCTTTGCACTTTTTGTTCCTTTCTCCTAATCGACTCTTTCTTCTGTGTCCAATGACATCTTTTCTTCTGCTCGTCCATCCCCTCTGATTATTTTTCTCAAGAACCTACAGTTTGGACGATCAAATAGTGACACATAATGTACTAGTAGTCCCCCAGAAAGTAAGTTCCTCTCCTCTAGCATGTTCTGTGAGCAGGAACCAGTTGGTTTCTCCATGTGGAAGCATCTTTGGTCACAGGAATCAAAGTGGTGGTGGGCAGTACCATGGAGGTAACTTCTTCAGGGCTCTAAGTCCATTGGCTGCATCAAGGTATAGTTTCATAAAAGCAGGCAAGTGTATTGCTCACCTGCAATACTGTGACAAACAAACACAGACTCCAAAACATTGGAAGGAGCTTAAAAAAACACTGGACCATAAGCACATTTATTCTGTCTCAAAGCCTCCAATATAGGAGAGGTATGGTCTTTTCCTTAAGGATCCTTTTCAATAAAAATCATCTTCCTTTCAATAAATTCTTTTTTTGCTTAACCTGAGTACCTTCTACTGCATTTAAATCCATTCACTCTCCTTCTGCCCTGAATAGAGATGAAGAGCGAATCGTTGTCATCTGCATTGTGAACTCCAAGCATTCTCTTCCTCAAGATGAACAATTCCACTTCCTTCATATTGTCTCCCAGGTTTTGCTTCCCAGCTCTGTATCCTGCCGGGGACACTGAGCAGTGTGAGGATCACCTCTTAGTTGCAACAGCCTGCACACCTACTCACGTACTGCAGTATCGTAATACCTCCTGCGTGAACTGCACTTTGTGCTTTTCAGAGTGTTTGCATTGGCATTATGCCATTAGATACTGCTTTGGAACAACACGCCTACATCACTAACTCATGCATACTTCCTACTATCTACTGGGCTGCCTGAGCCCTTTCTCAGATCCGGATACCAGGAGCACAGTCCTTCTTTATTGTATGCTGGCTTCTTTGTCTTGTCTTCCTGGGTTCTCACTCGGGTCCAGGTCTCTGCTGGGCTCATCCTATGCATTGCTTATCACGTTTTTCACTTACTTCTGCCTAAATGAAAAGTCCTCACCATTGAAGTGTCAACACTAACATATGGTGGCTTTATGCTTGTTATCTAAATTTTGATTTTTTTTTTTCTTCTCTCTCTCTGCTCAGATGCTGGATTTGAGATTCCAAACTTATTTGTGGTGGGTTATGCCTTAGATTACAATGAATACCTCAGAGATCTGAATGTACATGTTGCATGCATATCCCTACCCCCATTTCACAAGGACTTAACAGTTTTATCAATTTAGCTAATTATTAAAATAATAATAATGGTGGCTGCCATTTACTGAATAACTTCTATGTCAGGAATATTCTTGGCACTTTGCATGCATAATCTCGATTCACTCCCCCCACTACCCTGCAAGGGAGGAAGTAGGGTGATAGAAGCAATTATGATTATCTCTTTTTAATTTCTATTTTTATTTTTTATGAGCTCTATTTTATACTAAAGAAATAAGGAAGCCAAAAGCAGAACTATGGCTTGGTATTGATTTTTCTCCAAGTCATTGACTATGCCTACTTACCCACAGTAATGCTATATAATAAAAGCCTAATATGCTAAGTGTCCGACTATTCGTTCGACCTTTCAACCAGTCACTATGACGCGCACTGACCACCATGGGGCAGACACTCCAACCAGTAGGTTAGCTTGCTGCTGGGGTCCAGTCGATCAGGACTGGGCTAGATGGGCTGGCCACTCCCTGGAGCCCTCCCGTGGTCCCTCCTCATCCCTAATCATGCACCGGTAATGTTCTTCGGCCTGGCCTGCACCCTCTCGCAATCCAGGACCCCTTGGTGATGTTGGAGAGCCAGTTTCAGCCCAATCCCTACAGGCCAGGCCGAGGGACCCCACTGGTCCACGAATCCTTGCACTGGACCCCTAGTGGTAAATATTCTATAACCTATTTTTTGTCGGAGCTTGAAATCTAGCAGGTACCAATTTGAGTGGCATGCAGCTAGCTTATAGCTATTCCCAATTTGAGGGCAATAGTTTTATTGGTGGCAGGAACAGCACCAGGGGTTATACTGGTGGGGTCACACTAGACCTGGGTTCAGCAACATTTGTACTTGAGTTTTGGCTAAGAAATAATTTAGAGCCAAGACTCAAACTATAAGAGAACATTTATTTGGAAAATCACAGAGGTATAAGAAGTAATGTGTAGGAGAAATGGGCTTAGGAAACAAATTAGGTAAAAGAAAGGCCCTTGGAGCTTAGAAGTGAGGAAAGTCAAGGTGACACACTTCGGGGGTTTAGGGAAGTGGAGGGAAAACTGTGGTGTGCTCCCATGAGGGAGAGTATGATGGGTTTTCTGTCCTAAGGGTTTTAAAGGTGGAGATTTTAGGGGAAGTCCCAGGGGAAGATCTTAATAGACGATTCACAGATAATCACAGCAGCTTTTCAGATGTGTCTTTCAGTGTTGAGGTCTCCACTGATTGACTGGCTGGCACAGGAGGTCATTAGTCAAGGCAGTTGGCCCTGAGGTTAGCTTGTCTGGTTTTGTTGCTTTTCTGGGCCTGGAGCTGAAGCACAACTGAGGCCTAGATGTTATCTAGGGAGTAAAGGTCAGGGGTCCGAACGGCAGGAACAGCAATCTGCTAGGAGAGGAAAGGTCACCCTGGGGACAAGGTCCTATGCTACAGTTGTCCTTTGCTAGGCACCCAGGACTTTGCACCCTGGTGACCTTCTGTACCATAGTTTTCACATATAGACATCGACCCCTGGCTGTGTGACCCTGACCATTACTGAATGATCTAGACATATTACCCAAAACAGACCAATCTCTCTCTCTCTCTCTCTCTCTCTCTCTCTCTCTCTCTCTCTCTCTCTCTCTCCCCCCCCCCCCCTTCTCAATAGAAACTTAACCAAAATCACAGAGACCAAGGAGTTTGAGGCTTAACCAGTGGACTGAGGTCTGGAGCTACCCCTATTCCTGTCTTTCATTTCCTTCATTGCTCAGCACTTTCTTTGCTTCTGTGAACTACTCAGTGTCTTACCAATAAATCTCCCTATTTTGCTTATATTAGCCTGACTCCATTTCTGTTGCTTGCAACCAAAATATTCCTGACACATTTCTTACTATCCAAAGGGTCAAATAAGAGTACATATTATTTTTATTATGGCTGTTTCTCTATTCACCCTGTAATTTTACCAGTAGGAGACTTCTATCTCCATCACAGCTAACCATACTGCTCCCTAAGCATTTCTGGTTGTTACAGACTTAGGGAGCCAAATTTAGAAAAAGGCTCAAAACTAAAACAATAAAGCATTTTTGTCAAGCATTCGAATGGATTTCTTTAGATGTTACACACACACACACACACACACACACACACACACACACACAAATACACAAATATCCTATATAATAGCCTAATGTGCAAATTGACCAAAAAGCAAAACAACTGGTAGAACAACCAGTTGCTATGACTCACACTGACCACCAGGGGGCAGACGTTCAATGCAGGAGCTGCCCCTAGCCCACAGGCCCCAGGCCAGCCAAGGTGAGTGCCAGCAAGGGGGGGAGGGGGGCAGATCTCCCCACAGAGGAAGGTGACCGGTGGTGGTGGTGGCAGTGGGGGGCAGGGCTGGCGAGCAGCCAGTGCCAGGCAAGCCAAGGTGGGTGCCAGTGGGGGCTGCCCGATCACCCCACCTGTCACCCCACAGATCGGCCCTGATCACTGGCCAGGCCTAGGGACCCTACCCATGCACGAATTTCCTGCATCAGGCTTCTAGAATTTAAATAAACAGTAACCAATACAGGATGATGGTCTTTATTATTACATAACATTGTCAGCGCCTCATATTTTGTTAAGAAACTGATGCATTATTAAATTCTTTATTGTTTCAGCACATACGTGTGATCAATGAACAAGGCAAAGAAAAGTATCGAATCTAAAGAAGTAAATTCTCTCCAGATAACATCATACTTACAACTACATTCAGGAAGCCACTGTGTGAAGTTTGTCTCCCCAGGCATCCTCACTCAACAGGGTAAAAAAGAAAAAAATGTTTTAATGACAGAGCTTTCTTTTCTGAGATTATAACATAAAGAGCATCAAAAGTTCTTAAGGAAAAGAAAGCAATGTTTTCATTTGACTCGTTCCAAATTAAACACTCCGCCTTATGACTCATGAGTTCTACCTACCTTCACACTCCTGAACTGCACCTTCTTTTGTTTTCATTCACACAGTCATTATGCTCGAATACTTTATCCCCACCTAGTTACTCAAATATTTCTTACTTAACTTTTTAAAAAATATACTCTATTTCTTTGTAATATTTTGCAGTCTTAAGAACCTGGAAGTCTTTTAAGTTAAGCTCTGAGCCCATATACTGGAAATGCAGCTAGATTCCCATATTAAAAAAAAAAAAAAAAGGATAGAAAGGACAATTTAATATAAATTTCTGTTTGCACTTTCCTGACAGGCTGTTATTATCTGCTTTGACAAAGCCTTTCTGAGCCACAGCATCAATGAATGTTAATGATGTTATGAAATGAGCCTTGCTCAGTGCTCTTGATTGGAGCTTCCGGCATGTGATAACGGTATGTCATGGATGCATGGACGTACTCAACTGTGCTTAATACTCTGAATTTTAATTAGAAAAAATACAATGGCAGCACGGCCCCGGTTTCTAAGTGGCATCCTTTTATTCATGTGGGACATGAGCAAATGGCAGAATTTGGAGGAGGGGCAAGTGTTTTCAATGCTCAAAACTAAGCAAGAATAAATTTTTCCTCTTACTTGCACCAAAGGAAAAAAACATTATTATGTGTTATCCTAAACAGGAGCACAGAGGTTGAATTATTATTTTAAGTGTCCTTTTAAGACTGATCACACAATCCAAGGCATTATAGAAAAAAATATGTTTAAGAAAGTTTTTTCTGAATAATATTTTTCCATTTTCCCTTGTCTTATGAGATGTTTTCTAATTTATAGGGATTTTCATTGAAAATAAACTTGAGTGCCCATAGAGCTGTTTTTCCTCACTTCCTAAAAGCAGCAAATGCAAAGTAAACAACTCAGCAGCCTTTGTTTGGTTCTGAACTGTCTGTGGCGTATTGTGACCAGGCTCTAGCTTCCTTTAAATTCATAAAGAATAAGAACCCATGTTATGTTTCATAACTGCTTACTGTCTTACTTCCACCTTCATATCTTTATATACTTTCAGCTATTAAAATGTGTGAGCTGGTAGCTTAAATATACTACTTCATATATCTTCCCTGTGGCTTTTTTTTTTAACCTGGAAAAAATCCAATACAGTATATGCACCAGTATAAACAAACTATTAAGCCAGTCTTGATCTGCTGCTTTTTTCCTCCTTAAGTTTGTTTGTAAGAACAAGGAATTTTGGTTGTAGAAGATTTTCCTGCATATTTTTGTTCCAGCCAGAAAAGAAAATAAACCACACCCAGATATCCCCAGAGGGAAACCAGTAAAGGGAATTCCTTCTAGCTTTGTTTCATAGAAGAAATAGGATCTGAATTATCGATTGATAATTCTGTATAGCTGGCCTATTTCTTGATGTATCGAAATTAATGTTTAAACACAATTTTTTTATTATATTACATTTATATCAGGATACCTAAAATAATCCATATTTGATTTTAAATATAAAATTATCCATAAAGTAAAATGTATTAAAATATTTTCTTTAAAATGTTGAATTTTAGTAACCATCAATATCATTTTGGGGGCTTTATGTTTATTCACATTAAAAAGAAAAATACATTTCACAAGATTTTAAGGACTTGCACTAGTTAAAGCTGAAGAAGAAAAATTAAATACACAAGAAGTTTAATCATTCTTGCAATGTTTTTCTACCAGATAATATTTTGACAATGATACCCAAAAATGTCATCTTGGGAAAAATAGTATTTCCTTTTCTCTTGCAAAACTGTAATCTATTTAATACCACTAAGTTTATTCAACCTAGACTAAAAATGTAACAGCTCCCTACTTGATTAATAACCAATACATTTATTAGTATTCCAAAACGGATGAACAGGGGAGAAAGGTGTGTGGTATGTTTTATTGGGAAAATTTGGATTTAGTTACAATAATTCGTAATATTTTTACTGCAGTCATAAAGTAACATAATTAGTAATACTTTGGAATCTTCCAAACAAATAAGAGCCCCTCATTATAAATTGGACCTTTCATTCTAGACTGGACTGTATCACATATTGAACCATGTACCTACCCCCAAAGTGAACTGCAAACACAGTTGACTCTTGAGCAATACAGGTTAGAACTGCTTGGGTCCACTTACATGAAGATTGTTTTCCATAACTATGCCTTCTGAGACTGAAAACAGCCCCGCGGAGCACAAACAGGCATTTACGCAGCCTCCCGTGAGGTGAACTTGTGTTTTCCCAGTGGAGGGGGAAGGTAACCTATCGCACTCTGGAGAGCTGGTGTCATGCAAATATTTTGTCACTTTTGTAATAGAGGTAGGATGTTCTAGGAAATCAAAACCCTGCACCACACTCTTCGCCCAGATGTCTGGCATATTTGGACAAACATAGTATTTGGGAGTTTTACTTACTTTGCTATCATGGTGTTACTTGGGACCCCCCGATGCCATTTGAGGACTAGGGGGCCGGTGGGGGGACAGACTAGTTTCAGGAAGGGAGACAGGGAATCGTGAAGGGGAGATTTGCTCATTGATGCTGGGAGCCGTGCGGAAAGGAAAGAGAGGGCTTCATTGTTCCTTGGCCCAATCACATCCTATGCTTGATCCGGAAGCCTGTGAAGAGCAGTAGACAAGGACACCAGCTGCAAGAGCTGTTTGCCTGGGAGCCTTAGTGCCACACGGTGGGGCAGACCGGTCCTTCTCTATGTCTCGGTGAGATCATGGCACAGCTTTGGTGCAGGGAGGAGTGGGGAAAGGGCTCCACTTTAGGATGACAAGGATTCTGCAATTTGGGGAGCCCTCTGGGCTGGAAGGGGTGTCCACATCCATGGTGCTTCACAAGACGCACCCTCCAGAGGTTTCATGGGCCGGAGGGAGGCATCCACAAGGAGCCCACCGCAGCCCATGAGAGGAATGTTGATGGACAGGCATGAGAAAGCTCTGCGCATCCAAGAATCACAGCTACTGCCTTGGTTGCCAGCCTGTGCTGCTGGTGCTTTGCACGGGACACCTGGCTGCAGGGAGCGAGCAGGGGCTGAGACCCAGCCTGCATTCCCCTTGCCAAGCCAGGTGCCATGGACCCTGGCTGAGGACTGCCTCGCCCTCCCCTTTCCCCCTAAGAAGCATCTTTTTCTAAAAGGGGTATCTTTTTCTAGTCTGCTCAGAAAAAAGAGAGAAAAAAATGTGGTTTTTTTGCAATTTCTTGGCCAGGAAGGGGGGGCTTTTTGTGCTAAAGTGGCTTTGGTCAGAAATAGGTAGGGGAGAGCATGAAGGCAGGGTGCGGTGCTGAAGTCCTGCATTTTCCAAGGTTGGGGGGGGGGGAGAGCGGGGGGGGGGGGGGGGGTGGCGGAATAGGCCTGAGCTAATGTTACTGCGACCTCATTTGTTTCCAGAGCCTAGTGGGTGTCTATGAGTGAAGAAGTTGTGAGTAAAGAGGGCAAATGTAGACGACTCATTTAAAAGACTGGCTGTAAAAAAGAAGAGACACATAACCATGGCTAGAGGGATTTTAAAGATGCAAGAGAGTTGTGCATTTTTATTTGCTATAAGAACAAAAAAACAAACATGGGGAAATCTATAGAGAGTGTGTATTTGTTATTGATTGATGTGTCATAAATCACTTCAAAACTGAGTAAGCATGTATTTATTATTTCTTGTGGTTTGCAACATCTAGGAAACAGACAGGGCAGTGGGATGGTTTGTTTCTGCTCCGTGATGTCTGTTGCTTCAGCTGGAAGACTCAAAGGCTGTTTGAAGCTGAACTATCCAATGTGGCAGCCATTAGCCAGGTGTAATTTTTAAATTTAAATTATCTAAAGTTAAATACAATAAAAAATGTACTCCTTCATTCATACGTGCTACATTATAATTGCTCAATGGACTCATGTGTGGTAAGTTGCGATATTGGACAGCACAGGCAGGAAATTCCCATGATCACACAAAGTGATCTGCTCCGAAGGCTTGTCTAGGGGTTGATGTTGGTTGTTAGCTGGAATCATAATTGAGGCTGTCCGCTAGAATTTTTATCTGTGTTCTCCCGTGTTTGGGCTTCCTCACAACATGGCAGCTTGGTTCCAAAAGCAAGTGCAGAGAGAGACAGAGACAGAGAGAAGCAGGTGAAAGCCATATTACTTTTATTTTTTATTATTTTTTATTTTTATTGATTTCAGAGGAAGGGAGAGGGAGAGAGAGATAGAAACATCAATGATGAGAGAGAATCATTGATTGGCTGCCTCCTGCACACACCACACTGGGAATCCAGCTGGAAACCCAGGCATGTGCCCTGAGCAGGAATCGAACTGTGACCTCCTGCTTCATAGATCAATGCTCAACCACTGAGCGGGGCCCATATTGTCTTTTTATATGACAGTCTCACTTCCATCAAATTCTGTCAGTCAAGGTGGTTACTAAGATTTGTCTGAGTTCAAGGGGAGGGGACGTAGACTGCCACCACTCAGTAGGAGAACAGTAGCAGCATAGCGTAAGGAGGTAAGTGGAGTGAGATACACATTGCTGTGGCATCTTCAGGCCACTGAAGAGGAAATCTGCAACAGAACGGTTGTGAGCCCTGCGTATTTTCTGCTAATAAGATTAGCGAAGGAGTTGGGTGAAGGTATAGTTGACATATGACATTTATTCGTTTCAGATGAACAACATGCTGATTAAGTATTTGTATACCCTGGGAAATGGCCACCACAGTGGGTATAGTTACCATCTGTCACCATACAAAGTTACAAATTTATTTTTTCTTGTGATGAGAACTTTTAAGGTTTACTCTCTTCAGCGCCTTTCAAACATGCAATACGGTATTGTTACCTGTACCACCATGCTGGCCATTACATCTGCAGGACTTGTTTATTTGATAACAGGCCGTTTGTATCTCTTGACCCTCTTCACCCATTTCACCCCCATCCAATCCCCCTCTGGCAACAACCAATATGTTCTCTATCAATTTTATTTTGTTTTGTTTGTTCTTTTTTCTTTTCTTTTTAGATTCCACATATAACTGAAAGCATACAGTATTTGTCTTCCTCTGTCTGACTTATCTACTTAGCATAATACCCTCTTGTCACAAATGGTAAGATTTTATTCTTTTTATGGCTGAGTAGTATTCCATTATGTACCACATCTTTTTTTATCCATTCATCCATCAATGGGTACTGAGGTTGTTTTCATATCTTGACCATTGTAAATAATGTGACAATGAACATAGGGGTGCAAATACCTTTTTGAATTAGTGTTTTAATTTTCTTCATATAAAAACCCAGAAGTGGGATTGGTAGTTCTATTTTTAGTTTTTTGAGGAGCCTCCATACTGTTTTGACTAATGTAGTTTTCTAATCACACACTATATTTAACCACTGTTCACTTAAATGGCATCTATTTTCAATATCATTCAAATGGCATTGTTTTCAATATCATTATGGCTTAAACAGTCTTTTAAATACATAAATTTAAATTTCCATTTGATACAAAATCTACATTTTCTCATTTTTAACATTGTTTATTACACATACCACCACATGCTTTAATTAAGAGAGCTGTTAAACTTTGCTTAACGGTGGCTGCACCCTATGACTCATCAGCTTTTTATTTTTTTTCTATTTTAAATTCAGTTCAACAACATCTGGTAGCTTATACAAGGAGAGAGGATGTGCTTTACAATCAGTGATTTTTCTGGGCAACATGTTTCTGCAA